CTCAGCTGTGGAGGGCAGTGTCACTGGCCCTCATATGTGGGATCCGAACCGGGGCCCTCTGGCGTCCCAAGCCAGCTCTTAACCATCGCGCCACTCGGCAGGCCCAAATTATTCTTAATCTTTCCTCCCATATTTCCCTTTGCGCTACTCTTATTTGCAAATTTGAATCTAGTTCTAAGATGACTGTCATGACAAGTAAAAGTAAAGAAGTACGGACTCTTCAAACTTAAATTACTTGGCTTCTCACTCAGAAACAGGAAAAGCAGCTATACAATCCACATCCATGAGCACTTAACAACACCCAACTCCTATCAACTCTTAACATATCATGAATGTGCTACCCTGATGGGGGCCTAAGTAAGATACCTAGCCCTTTCTCTTCTCTCATTCTTCTGCCTTTTGGCTGTAGCTTCTGGGGAGGTGGAGTGGGGAAGGGGAGCAGCACAGACACAAACTCTTCCTTTAAATATAAATTTGCTCAAATCCCATATTCTTTGATGAGTAAAGCTATTCTTTAGCTTTCTAATGTCACTTGCTTTTTCCTCAACAGAAAAAGGCATTAAATATTAAGTTTCTGAATCTCCAAAAGGACTTCCTATTAGTAATGAATACCAGACACTAAAAGGGCCCATTTTACCTTTAAATCCAGCAACTTCTGCTTGTTTATACATTCCGAGAAAAAAGTAGGTGCAGGCTAGGTTCACCCAGACTTCGGGATTGCAATTTTCCTCTTTTGTTGCATTTTCATATTCCTGAAATATACATTAAGGAGTGATGTCATTTTGGCAGCAAAGCAATCGATGGGCCATCCTTCAATAATGGAGTAGGATTTCTTACTGAGACTGGGGAAGTACACATTTAGGGAATCCTACATGCTCACCTATTCTATACCTGAATACTTAAATATTGAAGTGAAAGCTCAATCCTACCCATGCAGGGCTAGTACCATATAATCTTACACGCTTTTTCTTTTTTCCCCCCTCCTTTTAACACTGATAGGGGCTAACAAGCTGCAGAAATGAAAAGTAACTAAAATATTTTACTTTTGCTAATTTAAAAAGATATACAAGAGATACCTTGTAAAAAATGCATAAGTTCAATGAACTTAAAACCTGATGAACTTACTACATTATGAATTTCATTGCACTCTAATTGTTTTCTGGCTTTGTTTATTTGGCTTTACATTTTAAAAAGGTATTTTTTTTCCTGCCAAGGACTCAGTTTCTAAGATTCACTTTGTCAACTGCCTTTTCCATATACTTTTATTATTTACCAGTCTTTGTTTCTTTTTCTTACATTAGGGTTACTCTCTTTTCTTCTGCATCTTTCACAAACACTACCTACCAGCCTCTATTCTATGCTTTTCACATCTTCCCTTTTCCTTCACTGATTTTGTTGCTTTTGTTCTTCATTTCACATCCTCATTTCCTAATCTTAGATACTTTCATTTTAGTTATGCAGGCTCTTTAAATATCCTTAGATTACATTTTGGGAGTAAGAATATGTGGGAAATGTTTAACCAATTTCATTTATGAATTAAAAACTGCTTGACATAAGCCATCTATAATTTTATCTGGATCCATAATCCTATAGATTGCTCATTAGATAGGTAGGGTTTACAATGACCAAGAAAAAAAACTTCCAAAACTATATTTGCAAAAATATAAAGATAGGGCCGGCTGAGTGGCTTGTTGGTTAAGAGTTGGCTTGGGAGCGCAAGCTCTGAGCAGCAGGGTCGGTGGTTCAGATCCCACATGGGCCAGTGACACTGCCCTCTACAGCTAAGATGGTGAACAACAGCTCAACCTGGAGCTGGGGTGCCTGAGTCGCCAGCGATGGTGTAGGCTGCAGTGGGGCTGCAGTGGGCTGTTGTAAGCTACCGTGAGTGGCCGGCAGCCAGCGTGAGCTGCTGTGAGCGGCTGTCCGATAGCCGGCGACTGAGTGCCTCACCCGGTAAGAGCGCAATGATCACAATACCAACATGGGCCAGTGAAGCGACATCCTCCACAACTAGAGTGAAGAACAAAAGGACAGCAACTTGTCTGTTCCCCTCCCCCAGTTCCCCAATTAAAAGAAATATATATATATATATATATATATAAAGATAATATAATCTATCCTATGTCTAAAAATAACAAGGCAAAACAAAAATTAAGTTCTTTTGAGAAATGGCTCATGAAAATTTTTCTATTAAAATGGATTATTTTTCCTCTCCTGAAGACTTACTTATTAGAAATACTAACGTTATATTATCAAATCTCATTAGTTTACATCTAAAACTAAACCATATATATATATATATATATATATATATATATATACCTAGATAAAGATTTATGCATATATAGATATATACACACATATACTTGAACATAGTTTATAGAAGATTTCTGAAGTAATGCATCAAAAAACAACTAATGGCTGCCTCCATTAACCAAGAAGTACAATTGGGGACAGCAGGCAGCGTGGCTTTTTTTCTTTTTACTTTATTCCCTTCTATATTGTTTGGATTTTATCATGAGCATGTATTATTATAATACAAAGCTTAATAACATTTTCAGACTCCTTCTGTGTGTGTGTGTGTGTGTGTGTGTGTATATATATATATATATATATATATATATATATGTTTGTTTTTTAACTAACCTCCAAAGCTCTCTTGTAATCACCCAAGTGAAAAGCACAGTAGCCAATCCACAAATTAGTATCTTCTTCTTGTTCCCCAACGTGACGTTTGAACTTCAGGTTAAAATTTCATGAAAAAAAAAAAAATCATGAAAAACTTTTAAGTTTTAAAAAATGCTAAAATTAAGTTACTGATGAATAAAAAAATAAATCACAATAGAAGCAAGTCAAAACCCAGTTTAATTAAACCTATACCTACAGAACTCATACCTACAGAACTATCCTACAGTTACCTTCTAATTGTCACAGAAATTTATATTTTCAAACATTTCACAAATATTTAATTTTCTGTATTTACTGACACCTCACCCCAGAAAGCACTTAAGCATTATCTTCATAACAATTCTGGGTGATATGTAAGGAACATAAGAATTATGTGAAATATTTAGTCCCAAATAACTGAAGGTTGCGAGATGAAGCAATAAACTCAAGGCCACACAGCCATCAAGTGTGGTGGTAGAGACTTAATGTTTGACTCCAAAGCCCATGTTCTCACCATTCCATGCTTTACTACCCTCAACCTCACACTTCTAACCGATCCCATTAGTACACACATATATTTACTCACAGGTTATAACTGTTCACTGGGGATAAGCCCCCAAACCCTTCAACTCCCCACTTTAAAGATGAGAAGCCTGCTATTATACAAACAAAGTTAAGCGATGTGCTCAGTACCAGAGCACTAGGAAGAAAAGTAGGACTATCCATGGAAGATTGAGAAAACTATATAAAGCGAATTAAAACAATTATTATTGATAGATCATGAGTCCTCTGCCTGGAGTAGTGCTTTGGAGAAATGATGGCGGTACAACCTAACGAGGCTTGCTGTCAAACACTATCTCTTCATTCTTTAGTGCACCCCCTACAGTCTCCTACAGCATGTGCTTTCCACAAAGCAGTTTCTCAAAGTGTAGTGTCCTTGGATCATCTACATGAGAAGCGCTTAGGCTACTCGTCTAAAATGCAGGCTCCTGAGCACTACTGAAGACAGCTTCTGGAAAGAATCAGAACCCCTAAGGCAGAAGCCCAGGAATATACACTTTAATAAGCACCATATGGTGAACACACAATGTGATATACAGATGATGTATTACAGCATTGTACACCTGAAACCTATGTAACTTTACTAATCACTGTCACCCCAATAAACTTTAATTTTAAAAAATAATAAGCACCCCAAGTGATTCTGATGCATATTAAAAGTTGAGAACTACTGCCACAGAGATTGAAATATTTTCTGCAGACACGGTATTTCAGACAATAAACATGAAGAGTAGATTTAAGTTTGACCAAAATTTCATAACCCATCATAGGTATAACTCATAAATTGGTCACAAGTTGTGATAATGTGTGAACGGACACTGCATGAAATGATCCTCCATATTTTTAGGTTGGATTCGCCATCAGCGGGACCAGGCATAATGAAAAATGTCCCTCAAGAAATAAGTCTTTTTAGTTCCTCTTTGATCAGATTTATAATTAACTTGGAATCTGGAATCTGTGCCTGACTAGATTTATAGGAAGCCCCTGAATGCACCCACCTGTTCCAAGAGCACAGCAACCAGAATTCACCCAAACACTCATCTATATTCTGGTATTCACCTCCTATGAAGCAACCTTCTTTGGACATTACCTCCAGCAGGGTAATAGCTCCAGTGAAATCTCTTTGTGAAAGTAGCTCCTCTAGTTTTGGAATCTTCCTACCTTTCTTCTTTCTTTTGTCAGTGTGCAGTAGGTCTCCGCCCACAGCCGGTTTGGCCCTTGAAAGCATCTGTGAAAGAAACAGCAGACATCCGTATGATCCAATGCAGAGGGTCAGTTTTAAACCGAGAGTGACAGCTCCAGGATTTACAAGTCAAATCCTTAACAACGAACCCCAGGAGCGCCTATTCAAAACCTCTTAGTCACACGTATTTTACTAAAAGGCCCATCACCCTGTACTGGAGCTGAACCAAATAACTACTCCCAACTTCTGTATCTTCTCCAATTAGAGTGAGGTTAAGAGGTGCTTTCACGCAGCTTGTCATCTCAGCCTTCCCTCGGTCTGCTTTCCATCCCACGCGCAGCTCAGGTGTAGGAAACGGAGGAGCAGGAGGGAAGAAAGCTTCGGGGTAGTTACAGCCGCATCCTGGTCCCCCATGGGAACGCGGGGAGGGCAGGGAGATAGATCATCCTCCGCTGACACTCCTAGACTTTACCCAGGAGTGTCCTGAGACCCTCTACTCTCCAGTCGCAGGACCTACTCAAAATTCTCCCTCACTGTTCAGAGCCACTAACCATCTTGGCGTGGGTCCTGGAAGCCTCCTTGGCAGACAGGCAGTAAAGGCCCAGCCTCGACGTTCACTCTGCATCCACAGCTCGCTCTGTCTCCACGGCAACCCCGCTAGGGGGCTGGTCTGCTCCAGAGAAGCGCTCGTGGGAGAACCCGGGCACTCTGCTTCCTTGGTTCCGTTCTGCTGCCGCCGCTGCAGGAATAGAAGTTCCTCTCGGGAGGAGAGGGTAGCTTTCTGTGCTGAAAGCAAGAGTTTGACTGTATTTCTGTTGATGAGTTTGCTTTAGGAAAAAGCGAATTCGAATGGCATTGTCTTTCGAATTCAAGTTTCCTGGGAAAGTAATTTTCAAGGACCACTTCCGATTTGGACCGCACTGGGCTCCATAGCAACCCTGCGCGCTGACTGTCACGTGACCTCGATCCTCTGCAGGTGCCGGAAGGTTAGAAAAAAATTTTTCTCCTAAACCAAGGAAGCTGACGTTCAGAGGCGGGAGTTCCTCAAAGTACAGTTTCTTGTTTCCATTGATATGTCTACACACAATGAGGTATGTAGGTATATGTGTTGAGTGGACGACTTCTTCCTACTCTCAAACCCAGTTAACACGGCTGAAAGGGTAGTCTAAAATCACCAACTCGTGCAATGTTAGGGGTGGATGGGACCTTTAAAAGGACATCCAGTTTGGGCCAGCGGAGTGGTGCATTGGTTAGGAGTTGGCTCCCGTTGCCAGCTCTGAGCAGCAGGACCCCATTTCGGATCCCACATGTGGGCCAGTGACGCTGCGCCCTCTACAGCTAAGATGGTGAACAACAGCTTGACCTGGAGCTGGGCTGCCATGAGTCACTGGGGATGGGCGTAGGCTGCAGTGGAGCTGGTCGGCAGCAGGCATGAGCTTTTGTGAGCTGCCGTGAGCCTCCGTGAGCCGCTGTGAGCCACCGCCTAATGGCTGGCAAGCGACTGCCTCACCTGACAAGATCGCAATGATAATACCCACATGGGCCAGTGAAGCAATGTCCTCCACAACTAGACTGAAGAACAAAAAGGACAGCAACTTGTCTGTTCCCCTTCCCCAGTTCCCCAACCCTGTTCCCCTCCCCCAATCCCCCAATGCAAAGAAAATAATAATACCATATGTCTAAACATGGAAAAATGTTATATCAGCATAGTAAACTGTTAAAGTATGTTATCCTCCTACCTTGACAAATATACCATCATGAAGGTCAGGCTCCAGTTTAGAATTATCAGACTTCTCAGAACTCTGTGCTGCAGTTGGCAATGTGGAGAGAGCTAGACCCGGCCCTCAGCCCAGACCCTTCTCTACTCAGCCCAGGCTCCGTCTCGCACTGTGAGGGGCTTTGTGCATGTGCATGGATACCCAGACACAAATGCAAGCTCTTGTCACCCACTCACAAGTGAGCTGTCACCCCCTGACAGACTAAAGGCAGGACAGACCCAGGGAAGAGACTCACTCAAGGGTGGAAACAGGCTTGAGGTTATTTGAGAAGGGAATTCAGAGTCCTGGGCACCATAGCATGGTGAGGAGCGTTGCAAGAACCCTGACAAGAAAAAAAAATCTGAGATGTTCTAAATTAAAATTACAGCAGCCGGGGAGTGAGAGAAAGAGACAGAACAGTTAGCCTGTTAAAAGCTGTGGACCATCTCTGACAAAAGACTGCTCACATTCCTGGAATTTAGTGTAATTCTCCAGGTGGCTATTTCCCCAATTATCCCAAAGAGAGAATAGCGAGGCACCATTGAACCCCAGGAGCCTCTGCTTCTTATTTGTACATGAACTTTCCAACCTGCTTCCCATAGCTAACTGACTACTTCCTTGCAGACTCTGCTGCACCTATCCCAGAACTAGCCCCATTCCACCTTTCCTTTCCCCCCACTTGATGTATGAAAACACTTGCAAAATCCCAGGGTGATGGACATGTTGTCTTTCCTACCTAGCCATGCTGCTGGTGGTTTAGACTCCATGCCCCAAGACCAGTCTTTTTGCTAGCAATGGCCTAATAAGCCCTTTCTTTTAAAAAGCCTTTCAGCCGTGGAAGTTAAAAGTTTTTATTTAACAACCCCTTAGCTTCATGGCTTCTTCACACCTGGTGTCAGGTGCAGTCAGAGCCCAGAGCCCAAAACAGGGGCCCCTCACATCAGGATCTAAGGGAAGTATTGCTGATAATGCTGTAAACAACCCTGTTGACCTTGCTAAATATTTTGAAATGACCTCTGATTTTCAGCAGTTTGAGATATTGCTATAAGTCTCTAAATCCCTGTTTGAACTGTAGCTGTAATTATGAAGGGCAGAATGGGGCACTGAGTGTACTGGAGAAGAGGCAGTTATTCTTAGAGCTACAGCGCTAAGACTCACCCAGATGTTATGAAACACCTAATCACACAGACACAAAAGCTGGTTACCTGGGTAAGAGGCAAAGTTGGAACTTGTACCTTTATTGCAGTTGCAATAGAAGCTTTGGAGTGATTTTTAAAAATAATCCAGATTGTGATGATGGTTGTATGACTATGTAAATTTTCTAAAAAAAAATTGTATATAGATTTAAAACAGGTGACTTTTATGATGTGTAAATTGTATCTCACTAAATCTGTGTGTGTTTTTTTTTTAATAATCCCACTCTGAGCTCAGAATGATGTTCCAAAGTCTGTGTTACTGCAATTTAGCCCTGATGCACAGTGGCACTGACTCTGGGTCCTTGGAACCATGGCCCTGCGATTCACCAGGGTCATGAGTTGCTGAGGGAATGTGAAAGACAGTAAGAATTGTTGGCATTTCTTGCTAGGGTAGATTCTCCTTAAGGAAAAAGTCTCCTAAAAAGAACCCTCAGGGCTGGCCAAGTGGCGCGTTGGTTAAAAGTTGGCTTGGGAGCACCAGCTCTGAGCAGCAGGGCTGCCGGTTCGGATCCCACGTGAGGACCAGTGACACTGCGCCTTCCATAGCTAAGATGGTGAACAACAGCCCGACCTGGAGCTAGGCTGCTGTGAGTGGGCATAGGCTGCAGTGGGGCTGCCCTGGGCTGCCTTGAGCTACTGTGAATGTTTGGCAGCCAGCATGAGTGGGCGACAGCTGGCGTGAGCTGCCAAGAGCCACTGTGAGCTGCTGTCCGATCGCTGGCGACTGATCTGACTCAGCCGGGAAGAGTGCAATGATCACAATACCAAATGGGACAGTGAAGCGATGTCCTCCACAACTATACTGAAGAACAAAAGGACAACAACTTGTCTGTTCCCCTTCCCCGATTCCCCAACACTGTTCCCCTCCCCCAATTCCCCAATAAAATCTCTAAAAAAAACCCCCAAAACCCCTCAGCATTTCTCCCACGAACCACAGTAACCCTGTTCATCAGCTCTATTGAGTGCTGTTAGTTTTTTCATTCTTTTGTTCACAAATATTCTACCTTTCCATCAAAAAGAATATTTGAAAAACCAAATTTTATTCCACTTCCTCCTAGTGTATTACATGGACTTATAGGAAGAGGACCCCTTTTTGACTGTTCTAAGAAAGAGCAAGAATGACTCTGGGATTAAACACTTGAAAATATAGGCTTTAAAGAAATATGTTTTTTCATTATTTTAAAATAACTTATTTTCTTAATTTCAAAAGTGGTACTTATTTACCATGGAAAATTTGGAAGATACTGAGAATTAAAATGAAGAAAGTGAAAGGGCCGGCTGAGTGGCTCAGTTGGTTAAGAGCTCGCTCAAGAGTTTGAGCTCTGAGCAACAGCGGTTCGAGTCAGCCCGAGCTGAGCAGCCGCTGAGCTGCCAACAGGTGGCAGGATGGCTCAGCTAAAAAAAAAAAAATAATAAAAAAAAAAATAAAAATAAAATGAAGAAAGTGTAAGTTATCTATAAATTTTTTAAGTGAGAGACACCACCTGTTCACCATTTGCTTTTTAAAATGTGATTTAACCAGTACTAAAGGATAATATAGACATAGCTGAACTACTAAGTAATTGAAAACCTAGCCAATAAGAAATCTATAGGTGATAAATGTTGAAGCTAAGTGATGAGTACATGAGTGTTTATTTTACTATTTTATTTTTGTATAGAAATTTTCCATAATCCAAAATGAAAGAGACATCTACTTAAAAACTCCCAAGTCCTTTACGGCCAAATTTTTAATTGAAATGAGCCAAAGATACGGGAGTCAATATTTATTTAACTACCAGGGGTGCCAAAAAAAATGTATACAAGTGCACACTTTGGTCAGCGTTGCTCAAGCAGTAGTTCACAGTCATCAGAAGTGTCTGGATGCTGATGGTAACCACTCTGAGCACCTCTTGTAATTGCAGAAGTGAAATGTGACTTGTATTCTTCTTTGGTTATCGGTATATATTAACTATTACAATTTTAATACAGTTTTCCTTTTTTAAAATGTGTATACATATTTTTGGCACCCTCTGTATTAAAAGATAACTTTTATTTATACCAATCAGAATCAAATGGATTTGTCTCTGTGAAGATACTGAGAAAAAATAATTTTCAACTTCTGATTGCTAATGTTTATATGGGGAAAAGATAACTGGGAAATCAGAAAATAAATTAAGCAAAATAAAATGCAAATAAGAAAAATACCAGGCATTGCAATCCATGGGCCCTGAGAGGAGGAACTCCTTGTTTCAGCCAGCAGCTGAGGGGTGGGATTCTGGAAGGCCAGGTTCAGTTCATCCCCTAGTCCCCTAGCCTCTAGAAAGAGCTGAAGATGACAGAGGGTTGGGTGCTTTGGAGTCAGCAAGACTTGGATTCGAACACTGTCTCCCACTTCCTGCATGCTTCCTACCTTTGTGACCTTGAGCAGGTTACTTAGTCTCTGAGTTTTTGTTTTCTGACATAAGAAAACCCATCTCACTGATATGCTTAAGACCCACCTGAGATCATTTATAAATGAGAGGTAGAATGATATGGCGGTTAAATGTTCAGCCTCTGGAGATAGACTGCCTGGGTTTGACTCTTGGCTCTATCACTTGCTTTAGCTGTGTGACCTGGGCAAGTCACTTAACCTCTCTGGGTCTCTCTCTTTTTTTTTTTTTACCTGATAATAGTACCTACTTCCTAGGTCCATTGATTATGAAATTGTAGGGGAGAAGAAATTCTCCTTATACCCTCCTAAGTTCTGGCTGGTCTGATAATCAAATTGACACTAGACAGATTAATAGGAGAAAATAATCAAATTTATTGTGTTTTTACCTATGGAGGTTCCATAAGAATTTGGGACCCGAGGACAAATCAGGCAGTTAAGGCTTATATGCTAGCTTGAACTAAGGAGAAATGGGGTTAGTGGTTTGGGACTTTAAAGGGGAAGAAAGCAATTCACATGGAGATGGAAAAGCAAATGTTTGGTAGACAAATGTTTGCTGGATCATCTTTAACAACGGGACACAGACTGGAAGGACTTTGATCCAACAAGTTCCTCCCTGTCTGTCACTCTTAGTCCATATTAAACTGTAGTTATCTATGGTAATAGTTCCCTTCCTGGAAGAGATCCTCTATCTAAATTGTTTTAGGAGGTTAGGAGGCAGGTCAAAGATTCTTCCTGAGTCTTCTGTTTCTTAAAAATAACCAGCTTAATGTAATAGATATCCCCCCAAAAGGTGTATTTTGGGGTGGCAAAACTCTGCTCCCCTTCAATAGTTAAAGGAATTATATACTGAAAGCATATAGAATAGTGATGAGTACAGTCAGTGCTATTAGATGTGCTCAGTCTTGTTATTTTTTTAATGAGATATAATTTGCATGCCATAAAATTTAATATTTAACGTGTACAATTTTGTGGTTTTTAATATATTAGCAAGATTGTCCATCACCATCACCATTATCTAATGAGCATTTCATCACCCCCAAAAGAAACTGGTACTCATTAGCAGTCACTCCCCATTCTGCCTTCCCCCAAGCCCCTGGTAATCATTAATCTATTTTCTGTCTCTATGGATTTGCCTATTCTGGACATTTCATAGAAATAGAATCATGCATCTTTCACTCAGCATAATGTTTCCAAGGCACCTCTATATTGTAGCATGTACCAGTGCCTCATTCATTTTTATGACTGAATACTATTCCATTGTATGGCTATGCCACATTTTCTTTGTCTTCATATTATAAAAGCACTTAACACATGGCTGAGGAATAGAGTGAAAAAGTAAAATGGAGTCACTGTGATCAAGCAGCTAAGTTATTAAGTAGGCTGAGGCATGGGGAGATGATTGCAGTCTTGTTTTAACTTATTCTAGGAACATAAACTTCTGAACTTTCCAGTCCTTCATCAGTGCCGGATGCACCTCAGACCGTTACGCGTCACTGCCTGGACAAACTTCAAACCCTCAGATGACCATGTGAATAACCTCAAGGAGAAATCATTCCATTGTCCAGACCACCAGATATCTGAAGATCACCGTCTTGGAGCAATCCCAGGGCTAAGAATGCAGGACTGATTCTTCTGAAGAAGGTACTTTGTACCATAAGCGCTCTCAGCTTTTCTTTCTCCTTTGGAACAGTTCTAGCTTTTGCCTAGCTGTGTTCCAGTTTGCAAACTCTAAGACCTTTAAGCAAACCTTTGTCATTTGTTTCTAGCCAAAGACCCCTGTAGTGCTCAGGGCCTGATGGTCTTGTCAGCATCTGACCCAGTGCTTGGGGTTCAGGGCACAGTCTCGATCCTGTACCATCCCACGTAGACTAGTGCTCAAGGAAGAAGCCTGAGCCGCGAAAGGCCGCCCAGATGCAGCCTGGCCTCTCTACCTGCCACATCCATACACCGGTCTCAGAGATCTCACATTCGCTGTTTTCCCTCTCCAGCCAGACACAACCTGGTAACCTGTTGTAATTCTCCCTCCCTCCGATCTGCTCTCTTCCCTTAATCGGTTCTTTCAGTCCCCTGGACCTGATTATTTACCCAGTTTCCTTAAATAGTCCACATTGCATTGTGTTTTGGACTTCTGTTACTTTGTGTGTTTGGGTACATTGTATTAATTATCCAGTGCTGCATAACAATGTACCCAAAAACTTAATACCTTAAAGCAATCAATAGTTTTATCTCCTGGACGTAGTTTTTGTTGAGTAGCTTAGCTGGATGGTTCTGGCTCAAAGTCTCTCCTGAGGTTGAAATCAAGCTATCAGCTGGGGCTGAATTCACCTGATGCCTTGGCTAGAACTGTTGGATCCCACTCCAAAAGGCTCACCCACATGCCAGGAAAATTAGTGCTGGTTGTGGCCAGGTGGTCTTTGGTCCCTGATACATGGACCTCTCCATGTTGCATATCCACACAACATAACGACTGGCTTCCCTGGAGAAAGCAATGAGAGAGTGGACAAGATGGAAGTCACAATGTTTTTTTTTATGACCTCGTCTTGGAACGCACACTGTCGCTTCTGCAATATCCTATTGATTACACAGATCCACCCTGTCGAGCATGGCAAGGGACTACACAGTGGTGCAAATATCAGGAGGTCGGGCTCTTTGGGGGCTAGCCAACTACCTCATCAAGCCATCTTATCGCCACGTTAGCCCCACGTCTAGATTACAACATGTCCATTGTCTGTGCTGTCATCCACGTGTCCCAGGAAGAAGGCTTGTAGCCCGAAGTTCCTCATTTTAACACCACCAAAGCAAAGTCTAATTTTCCTTCAAAGAGGGAAATGGCCCTTCTCACTCTGAAGTCAACGCCTCCACCACACCTATAGCTTCCTTCTTTCCCATGGAGCCTTGCTGTTAGGCAGTTTCAATCTAGGGAAAACCCCTCTGTTGGCTCCTGACCTCTACTCTCCTCTGCCTGGTTGACTTTTGCCTCCCTGGACTTCTGTATCTCCTGGAGAACATCTGTTTACCGTGGACTTTGGACATTACATCTGACTCAACTCTCTGGTGTTTATGTGCTTTTCATTTCTGTGACTTAGCATAGCTGACTCATTGCTGCCCTGTGTGTGTTTTGCTTCCCTTTTCGACTGGTGGTGGTTCAACTGATCACATAGCCTGATATCATGCTAATGTGCCCTAGAAACTGCAGCGTTGCACTCTCCCCAGATTTATGTCTTTGAAATGTTCACATACGCCCAGATCTTCCAGTAAGACAGTAATACACAAGCAAACAAATAAAAGAAAAATCTCTAACTACCTGAATGATTCCTCTTCCTTCGTCTTCTCTCTTTTCCTTTCCTTGTCAATCTTCTAAACTGAGTGACCCATTTTAACTTTAAACCTTACCATCTGAACAAAACTGCTATATCAAGGGAGCTGGACTATAAGACTGTACACAGGAGAATTCATTGACTTAGGAGTTCTCTCGTAGGATACGAGCTTTAGCAGCCTGGCGAGGACCAGGGGATGGCGCAAAATTGCTGCTAGGTGACTCCTGGAAGCCAGCAAAATTGATGCCCTATTAACGGTGATGGTCAGCAGCATGCTGGGACATTTCCTCCTAAGAAAAAGAGAAATTGCTGCATCTCAATCCCTCACTAGGAAGAAGGAAGCACGAAGCCTGTTAGGAATCTTTGGGTTCTTGAGGAAACACGTTCTACACCTAAGAAGACTGTCGCTGCCCTTGTACTGGGTGACGTGGAAGGCGTCCAGCTTTGAGTGGGGCTCAGAGCAGGAAGGAAAGAGCTGTGCAGCAGGTCAGGTCCAGACTGTGATACAAACAGCCCTTCTGCATGGATTGTACCATCTGGCAGGGCCTGGAGTGTGGACGGTGTCTATGATGGGAAAAGATGTAGTGGGGCATTTATGGCAAGTCCCAGCCTAAGAGTCACAATGCACACCCCTGGGGTTATGGAACAAAGGTTATGCCAGCTGTGGTGAAAAACAGCTCCTAGCTTGCTGCTGGGCGCTGGTAGAGATAACAAATGGCCGTGGGTTTGTACTTGGCCAGCACGAGCTAGGTCCTATTGGACACGTCAAGTTTCAAAGCCAGGCAGGCCCAGCATCATAGCCATCATAAGATGAAACTGATATATCTGGGACTGAGCACCATCAGGACTCATAAGCTGAATGAGCAAGCAGCCCAGATCTTCATGTCACCCATTACAGTTGCATTGGCACCCCTCCCCCAGCTTAACACCTATGGCTATGTGAGGCAGTCCCACATAAATAGCTGAAAGAGGGGAAAAAATGACCAAGCTCAAGTTATGGATGGGTCATCTCACTATGTGGGTACAAGCTAAAAATGGATGGCGGCTATATTATAGTCTCACTCAGGGAAGAAGGCCTTAGAGAACGGTGGTGAGGGAAAAGCTTCCCCATGGGGGCAGCTTTGGGATGTGCATCCGGTCATCCACTCTGCGTGGAAGGAGAATGGCCCAAGGTGAGAACATACGTGGATCCACGGGCAGAGATGAGTGGCTTGGCTGTGGGTAGGGGGCCTGAAAGAAAAAGGTATAAGATCAGAGACAAGAAGGGCTGTGATAGAGGAGGATGGATGGACCTGTAGGAGTGGACACAAAGTGGGTAGTTGTTTATATCACATGTTGAAGCCCACTAGTAAGTATTTATCACAAAAGATGTGCCAACTAGACAAAATAATTTGTCCAGTTAATGTATCCAGCCTTTGTAGAGCCCCCTCTCCCCCAACTGCTGCTTGATGGGTACCTGAACAAAGAGGCTGTGGTGGCAGAGACGGGGTTGATGCAAAAACCTAACAGCATGGACTGTCGTTTACTGCCGCGTCCAGTGCGACTAGTCGAACGGGCCGGAGTGGGGGTGATGAAGGATTAAGAAAGGCAGACAAAGAAATACTTGAAAGTGGGGGCTAGGTGGACAGCTATCTCCTGATGGGAGAACAGTGACCCAGTCTAGCAGCTGTGCTTTACTTATACAGTCTTGCTTATGTGGGGGCAGGAAAGGTGAGGAGATAGCCTTGGGCAAGGAACTTCCCGGGCGTCAGCTGCAGATGGTTAGCAACCAATGCACGAGACTCAAGATGTTTAGTACCCAATCGAAACCACCTGCGGGTGCCGGAAACCTCCTCCGTATGCTGAGGTGCTGCACCAGCCTTGCTAAGGACGCAGCCAGAGAGTGTGCCTTGCACCAGCCTCTCCTTTACATCTCCGGATGGGTCTCTCAGTCCCCGGCAATTTACCAAAACGAATATAAGTACTGCCACCCTGGAATGGCAACCAGTTTGCTCTCACAGAAATAGACACTGATTCCAAATACGGGGCTGCTTTCCTTGCCTGCAGTGCCTCAGTAGCATCACTCTCTGGGGTCTTAAAGATCACCTGATCCACAGACTTAGAATTTCAGGTAACAGCATCTGAGCAGAGGACTCTCTCTATGGCACAGAGAAGGGGTGTGGGCCCATGAATATAGGATCTGCTGGTCATATCACACACTCCATCCCCTGCAGCTGCTAGATAGGTAAAGTATTGGAATGGTCAGTTAGAGTTGCAGCTGAAGCTGTAGCATGGAGGTAATACCCTGCAATGATGACATTTCCTCTAAGACTGCATAGTATGTGCCTTTCATCAGACAGCCTAGTATGGTGGTGTTTCCCTAATGGAAAGGGTACATTGGGTCTGGAAACTAGGGGTGGAATCATGAGTGGCCCCCATTAGCATCATTCCAGTGACCCATTTGGGCCTCTCTGGGATCTGCAGGTTTAGAGGTGTTGGTCCCCAAAAGGGGCACATTCTTGCCTGGAGTGACAGCAAAAATTCCACTGGATTACAAGTAATGGCTGTCACCAGGCACTTTGGCCCCCTCGTGGTCAGACACTAACAGGTTAGACAAAGAACTGCTGTCTTATCAGAGGCAATTGATCTGGTCCTCAGAAGGAAGTAGGGTCACTATTAAGACGAGGGGGGTGGGATATGTGTGGACTCTGGTGACTTATTTGGGTGTCAGTTGGTACTCAGCTGTACTGTGACTGTGATTGTGAATGGACAGGATAAGAATAGCAACCCTAGTCTGAGAAGGTACTCAGAGCACTTAGGAATGAGGATTTTGGGTCCCCACCCAGGTAAGTTGAGGTGGTAACTGAGGGTGAGGGGAATTAGACTGCATAATGGTGGAGGCAGAGCATGAGGCCCATGGTGGCTTTGCAACCAGTTGCTGTGACAGGGGCTAGAGTTCATTCCATTGATTTCCTTCTGCTAAGTTTCCTTTCAGTAAAAGCGGCCCATCAGAGGCCTAAAGGAGCTGTACCTCGAACACATATGGAGAAAGAGATACACATGCCGCAAAGGCTGGCCTATAGCTGACAGTATGTCACTCAGATCCTCCTTAAGCTAGGGCTTGTTGCCCAACTCAGGGAGTGTGTTTAGGCAATAGCTTCCAGCTTTAGCACCTTCAGGATCTGTCCTAGTGTTTGAGCTCAAACAAACTTCTCCAGGACCCCTCTCCCCCATCACCAAGCAAGGCTGTGGCCCACAGCTGGACTCCTGCTCCCTGCTGGGCTGGCAGACTTGTGAGGTCTGCACAGCAGTCTGAAAGCTCCCAGGGACCCATGTTGCTTCTTCCTTTGACTTTCTCTGATGTTACACCCCCAGGAAACCTTCTGTACTCCCAGTTTTGAGCTTCATATCAGTGTCTGCTTCCTGGAGAAAGTCAACCTGTGACAGCAGACATTTGAAAATTGCCCCAAATGCCTGCCTTTTCCCTTCTCACAATCCCATAAGTGGTTTTTCATGGCTTCAAATTGAGGGGAATTTTATATCTTTATTCCCAACCATTCTAGCCAAACTGTACTCTTTCTTCTCAAATGTCTTAAATACCAATTGCAGCATTTAACCTTTTGGAAAGCAAAATTCAACTAAGTAAATTTGAAGACCTAACTGATATTATTAACAGATTCAGAAATCGTACAGCGTCCCAAGTGGAAGGGTGCTCTGAGAAGGTCGTACAAAATGGAAGGTTTTAATAGGCAGAAGGGTGTAGCAGGCTGGTTATTAGCAAAAGAGAGAAAGGATTATTTTTAGACCAGGACATCCTCTTTTTTGGGGGAAAGGGTAAGGGTTTTATCATTCAGACTGCCCCTTCTTCCTTTGGTGGGAGGAGGGTGGAGAGGGCCCACTGACAGATTACCTTACTGGTGCTGGACCAGAAAATCCCAGACAGATTGAAATTGTATTCCTGGGAGAGGATAAAACTGTAGTTAAATCAGGTATTAAATCTAGGTTTGGTATCATGGGTTTTTAGCACAATTGATGTCATTTTGGGCCTGTGGTTTTCTTTTCAACACCGGATTCCCTTATGTGGGAATGCTTTTGCATGTCTTCCCAACCACAAACTCCTTGAGGGCAGTGACTATTTCTTAACTTAAACGTCTGCATGTTCAGAGTGACTAATGTAAGAGCCACACGGAAGATACCATGTTGAATTTTATTGATTCGATAGTGAGGGCCCTGTCCTGGGAACCTGTTAGACCACAGATAAGGCCAAGTGGATCAAAGGCAACTATAGAAGTAATAGCTAGAGGGGACAAAAAGTCAGATGATCCTGTGTGGGACCCACGTTGGGCTGGTTTTTATACCAAAGTATTCTATTCTTGAGAGACACAGTTCACCTATCGCGAATTACTAAACTGAGAATTCGTATTGATCTTTTTGAAGACTTTTTTTTAAAAAAAGATTTTATTGGGGAATTGGGGGAGGGGAGCAGCATTGGGGAATCGGGGAAGGGGAACAGAGAAGCTGCTGTCCTTTTGTTCTTCAGTCTAGTTGTGGAGGCCATCACTTCACTGGCCCATGTTGGTATTATCATTGCGCTCTTCCAGGGTGAGGTAGTTGCTCGCTGGCCATTGGACAGCTGCTTATAGCGGCTCACGCAGCTCACAAAAGCGCATGCCCCTGCCGGCCAGCCCCACTGCAGCCTACGCTGTGGCTGGCGACCCACGGCAGCCCAGCTCCAGGTCGAGCTGTTGTTCACCATTCTAGCTGCCCAGGGCGCATGTGGGATCCGAACTAGGGCCCTGCTGCTCAGAGCTGGCGTCCCAAGCCAACTCTTAACCCAGGAGCCACTCGGCCAGCCCCTGAAGACTTTCTAATTGGACAACCATATTCTATCATTTTAAAAAAAGGTTTATTTCCGATCTGATCATTTATTTTACTTGGGAGTGCTGAGAAGAAAAACTTTTTCCTCTTCCAACTTGGGGCCAGTGCTTGGGGGCCTGCAAATTAACTGACAATAGACAGATGAACAGGAGGAAAGACTAGATTTATTTACATGTTAGGAGGGGCGGGGAGCTCCCAGAAATGGAAAAACTACTGGAACACCCAGAAGTTTATATCTCTGAACTTAACCAAAGGGTTTTTTGTTTGTTTGTTTTTTTGGGTTTTTTTTTTAGGGCTTCAACGGGGAGAGTATGGAAGGTTCTATTGGGCTTTTTGATGCTAATGACAATGGGCAGTCTGTCTCCACTGGGCAACCGAATTAACAGGAAACTCCCTGGGAAGAGGGTTAAAAATGGTAGCTGTATTTTCTGGAGGCTTTGCTTTAGTCAGAGGAAGAGAATTTCAGATAAAATTTCTTTAGCATCTTCTGTAGCTCACATGTTTTCACTTTAAAATAATCTGTATACAAACTCTGGGGGCCCAACTGGGTCCCCACAGGGGAAAATGTCTTGTTCAAATATCTAAAGAGAGAAACCTAACTGAAATCTTGGGATAGGTCCAAACATGCCCTTCTGTGACTGCGTGCTGTGGAGAATGAAGCGATGCCCTGGGGCACCGAGGTTAGCGATTACAGGCAGGCAAGAAAGGTCAAGAAATGGTTCTTCAAAAAGCTCCAGAGAAGGCAGATGAGAGGGAGAGGAATAATCGCTCTTTATTTATTTATTTTTTAGGAGGGCATGATGGTGTGGGAGAAAGTGCACATCGGCCCTGGCCAGGAGGTCCACGATCTGGGGTCTGGGGGCCAGATTTGGGGGGAACCTCGGGTAGCATCCGGGCTCCAGCATGATTGCAGCGCGTGTAAGCTCAAGTTTGTTTCTCAGACACAGAGTGAGGATAATACTACCTAGCTCGTGGAGTTGAGAAGGTTGACTAACACCGGGGGCAAGGCGCCTAGCGCCGAGCAAGTGCTCACTAGCCGTGTTCTTTCCCCGGATGGGTGGGGCGGAGAGAAGGCTCCTCAAGGGGGCTGCCGAACTCGCGTCATTCGCCACTTGGGCTGGCCGAGAGACACTCCACCGGCGCCCCAGGATCACTTTTACTTTCTCTTCTTTTCGGAAGAAGCCTCGCCCGACCTAGCTGGGGAACCGCACCCTCGTGGGGGACTAGAACCCCACGGGAGCGGTACGAGCCGCCGCGGTCGCCAGCAGCTCTGCCCACGCCGCCGTTCGCTTTCTTAACAGTCGGTTGCCGTCGCGGTTGACTGGGCATCTGACACAGGGATCGGGCTGGGGACATCCGTCCCGGGGACCCGGAGCCGAGCGGGAAACCGAAACCGCCGGGCTCCGCTCACGGCGGCGGGGAGCGCGCACTCGCCGGCCCGGGACGCGCCCAGCTCGAGCGCCGCCCGCCCCCGCCCCCGCCCCCCTTGTGAGTTTCGATTCTCCCCGGAGCAGAGTCCCGCGCGGCGGCCAGGCCGGAGCAGCGCCATGGCGGACCCTGAGGTGTGCTGCTTCATCACCAAAATCCTGTGCACCCACGGGGGCCGCATGGCCCTGGACGCGCTGCTGGACGAGATCGCGCTGCCCAAGGCGCAGCTCTGCGAGGTGCTGGAGGAGGCCGGGCCCAACCGCTTCGTGATACTGGAGACCGGCGGCAGGGCCGGGGTCAGCCGGTCCGTGGTGGCCACCACCGGAGCCCGGGTCTGCCGTCGCAAGTACTGCCAGAAAGGCTGCGGCAACCTGCACCTCTGCAAGCTCAACCTGCTGGGCCGCTGCCACTACTCGCAGTCGGAGCGGTGAGTGCGCTGCGAAGGCGGGGCGGCTCCCCGGGTCCCGGGCTGGGCGATCTGTCGGGGCTGCTGTCGGCGAGGGGCGTCCCCCGCGGGGGGGGACCTCGCGCCCCACGGCCTCTCCCTCCAGCCCCTCACTTCTCAGCCCCGTTCCTCTAGCGCCTCCAGACCTCCCCCTCGAGTATGGCTCACGCGATGTGGCCCCTGCAAAGCCTACGCTTCACTCCCCGCCCCCATAAATGAAGTACGTTGGGGGTCCTCCTGGGCTTAGAGAATTAGGAGGCAGGTTTGGGAACGAAGGAAAATGCCTCCGCACCCTGGACTCGTAGGTCTTTTCCTGCCACCTCCATCCCCAGGCGCGCTGCGGTCCTCCCAGCACCCCCGCCGCACCCCGCACCCGGAGGCGTCCCCGGCGCCGCGGGCGGCGGGTCTCTGCGTGGCCCTGTGTCCCTAGCCGCCTCCGTTCCCCTCGTGGTCGCCTTTCTGATGTCTGACGTTCGTCCGCACCAGCTGAGCGGCACGGTCCTACTCGAGGGTCCCCGTGATGTGTTCTCTCCCCGTGGTCCCGCCGCGGTGGCTGGCACCGTTGACCTCCCACTCTTGGGGCCACTTTGAACTAGGGCGCCTTACCTCTCAGGCAGATATTTCTATGTTCCCGCCTGTTCTTTTTTGCCTCTAAATATAGGTGTGCCCCCCCAAGGTTTGGGTTCAGCCTTTTGACCCGCCTGCCAAGTCTCCCTAGGAGAGTTCCCTCTTGGGTTCAGCTGTCACATCTACAAAGATGGCTCCCGCTTGTACCGCCCTGCTGCCCAGTCCTTCCCCCTGAATCGGGGTTCTCCCAGTGTCTGCGCATCAGGGCTTGACTATCCCGCTAATATGAGTCCAACTCATCTACCTTCCCCCAGGGCAGGGTCTCTGACGCTCGCCCCAGACCCTTCTTCATCCTTCACAATACCTTCATCACCATGGCCTTGTATTGAAGTGTAGCCCCTTCCTACCGGCCTTCCTTCCTATCTCCCTTCTGAATGAATGCCTTGTTGAATTAGTGAATGTCTCTCCCCTACCACAGGCTTCCCTCCACCTTTGCCGTCCCTGTGTACTGCTGCTCAGTTATTTTTCTTGATATAGTACTTTCCCCACTGTGCCCTCCTTAAAAACTTTTGAGCGGTGTCCCAGTGTCCCAAATGGCGGTTCTAACTTTTGATCGTGTGCTTGTTACTGAAAAACTTTAGATTATTCATCCCCAATATATGTAATAAAACATACAAAAGACATGTTTTAAATGGGTGAGGTGGATGAGATAGTGTTGTTGTTTTTTAAATTTATTTGTTTAGGGCAAAACTAAAAGTTTTTTAAAAAGTGCTTGACTGTGCTCCGTTAATGAAAAAGTATGTATTGGATATGTTGTGAGGCACCAATTTCAAAGCCTATTTCTGGGTTTGGGGAAGTTATGTGTATAGAGGCAAACATCTAAGGCACAGCAATGTGTAAAATCAGGAAGGAAGGAGGGAAGAGAGGGAGGGAGGATAGAAAAGGAAGGAACATTCTAGCACTAGACTGAATAACGACCGAGTTGGAAGGCTTTGGTTTTTTGTTGATCTGTTGTGAAAATTGTTTCACCAGTTGGCATTGGCTTTTAGCCTAAGTTTTAAATACATATGCTGCTTATCTTTTAATTTTTTACTATGAATATTTTAAACATTTCCCTTCACCAGTTTTCAAAATATGGACAATCTTGTTTCGTTTATTGCCCGCATCCCTATTGTGCTATGTTAAACCAAAAAGGGATCATTTGCCTCATAACTTTATCACCAAAGGATAGGGACTCTTAACATAACCACAGTACAGTGATCACATTGTTTTACAATTACAATTTTAATATCAGATATCCAGTTGGTGTTCAAATTGCCCTGATTATTTTATAATCTGACTTTCATTTTCAGGAAAAAATGTCTATGCAGCCATAATCCATAATTGTTTCAATATATCACATATCCAATATATTTAGAAATTTTGTTTCAGTTTCTTACAACATGTTTAGAAACTTTAGGGGTTTTTTTTTGTTTTATGAATTTTATTTTATTTTATTTTTTGGCCTGGTTTAAAACATCAAAACCATTTTAAGCTTGTAAATTGGGTTGCTAACTTGAACTTTTCTATATTTTAAAAGAATGTAATATGGGGATAATTTGGTCAATGCAAGTTTGGATGGATCCTTCAGGTAATTTTTTTTTAAGTGAAGTGATAAAATTTTATTTCTTACATTTATTGGTCTTGTCATGTTTTTAATTAACTTTTATTTCCTTTATATCAATTTTGATTTTTGAGAATTACAAATTTTTTTTTTTTTTTAAGATTTTTTTTTGGGGAATTGGGGGTATGGGAACAGCGCTGGGGAATTGGGGGAAGGGGAACAGACAAGTTGCTGTCGTTTTGTTCTTCAGTCTAGTTGTGGAGGACGCTGCTTCACTGGCCCAAGTTGGCACCATCATTGCGCTCTTCTCGGGCGAGGCAGATCAGTCGGCGGCTTCTGGACGGCCGCTCACTGCGGCTGCTGGCCGCTCACGCTGGCTGCTGGCCACACACGGTAGCCCATGGCAACCCACTGCCACAGGGACTGCAGCCTACGCCGTCGCCGGCGACCCACGGCAGCCCAGCTCCAGGTTGAGCTGTTGTTCAGCATCTTAGCTGTGGAGGGCAGTGTCACTGGCCCTCATATGTGGGATCCGAACCGGGGCCCTCTGGCGTCCCAAGCCAGTTCTTAACCATCGCGCCACTCGGCCGGCCCGAGAATTACAAATTTTTAATCTACCCTTGGAGGAATTTTTTTTTCTTGCTTCAACACCTAGAAAAATATGTTTTTTCCCCCCTAAGTATGTTTTAAAAATATTCCCCCTTCTTAGCAACTTACAAAACCTTATCTTCTAAAACTTGAAGCATGGGAGTCTAAGGACTTTCTTTGTGGCTTGCAGTTTAATGGAATCTGTTGACCAATGGGTAACCATGTTGAGATTACCATTCCATTCCATTTGGTAAACTGTTTTCTGTTTGTTGGTCTTATAAAATTTCCTCTATACTGTTGTTATTCATAAATGGGATTTCTCCTATACTGTAGTTCGCATCTTTTCTCTTACATTGCTTTAAGCTATACATTTTAATGTATAAAGCTATACATTAAGGGCTGATGTTTAGTGTTGGATAGTTATTTGTTTTGGTGCCTTAGTTTGAATGTCTGTATTTGCTTTGCTGAAATATATGCCCATGCGTGAACTTCTAATCCCACTTCTGACACAAACAATAAACACCATTTATTGAACAAATAACTATGTAGGAAGCACTCTGATAAGCACTTTAGAGATGGTATCCAAGTTAGTCTTTTTTTTTTTTTAAAGATTTTTATTGGGGAATTGGGAGAGGGAACAATGTTGGGGAATTGGGGAAGGGGAGCAGACAAGTTGCTGTCCTTTTGTTCTTCAGTCTAGTCGTGGAGGACGTTGCTTCACTGGCCCAAGTTGGCACCATCATTGTGCTCTTCCCGGACGAGGCAGATCAGTCGCCGGCTTCTGGACGGCCGCTCACTGTGGCTGTTGGCTGCTCACGCTGGCTGCTGGCTACACACGGTAGCCCATGGCAACCCACTGCCATAGGGGCTGCAGCCTATGCCATCGCCAGCGACCCACGGCAGCCCAGCTCCAGGTCAAGCCGTTGTTCAGCATCTTAGTTGTAGAGGGCAGTGTCACTGGCCCTCAGACGTGGGATCCGAACCGGGGCCCTCTGGCGTCCCAAGCCAGCTCTTAACCATCGTGCCACTCGGCCGGCCCCCAAGTTAGTCTTTTACCATGATTCTTGAGGTAGGTATTATAAGTCCCAATATATTAATGTAAGGAAACACAGGCCCAGAGCTGTTTAGAAGAAATTGACTGAAGGTTGCAGAGCAGATAGCTGGCAGAGTTAGCATTGAACCCAGATCTGCATGACTCGTTAACTAGCTACTGGTGTTGTCAAATAGCTATGTGAAATGTGATCTTTTATTAATTCAAGTTATTTTTTTGCAAGCATGATTTCTGTTTAAAGAAGGTTGCCTGAGTGTCTTCAACTAGGTTTTGTGGTTTCTGCTAATGTGGCTATTTCCTCTGGGTTCTTTCCTGTTTGTATGCCTTTCTCTTTCTTGTAGTTGATTGCAACTTTGGGTGGGGTGGGTAGAAGAGAAGAGGGTTAACTGACTATTTCATAAATTGAAGGAAAAAAACACACACCCCGCAAAGTGCAAAGAATAAAACAAGTATCAGAGTATATATCCTGGGTATATAACATAACAAAAGTTATATGTAGAATCGTAAGCTTATAGCTCACCTCCAAGAATAAATGTTTACATTTTTCATTTTCGCTTCTTATCTTTTAAAATAAAATGAAAGCCATAACAGACCTAATGTTATTTTTTTTCCCTCTTTCCTATTGTCATTTCCCCTTCTTCCCAGAAGCAACCTCAATCATGATTTTGGTGTTTATCCTGCCCTTCCATAATTTTATAATTTACTCACTTATATATTTATATCCAGATCCAAAGTATACTGTTGTTTTATGTGTTTTAGAATTTTTACTCAATGTTATGTTTTGGATATCTCATAAGATTCTAGTTCATTAATTTTGCCAGCTGTATAGTATTTCATCATAGGATTCATACCACAGTTCAGTACTTGTTCCTCCAATAATTGGTATTGGGATATTTCCATTTTTTTGCTACAAGAATATACATGTCTTGGTGCTTGTGGCAGGAGCTTATCGCGGTAGATCATTAGGGAATAAAATTGCTGGGTTGAATGGCTACACAGCTTCAACTTTTCCAGATTCTGACAAATTTATATTAAAGGCGATTGTACCAATTTATGCTTTCATGTTTGAGAGTCCCTGTTTCCCCCATTTTATGGCCAACTAGCAGGTGGCATTATTTTTTGATTTATGCCAATGTGAAGGGTATAAAATGGTATGTTGTGTTTTAATTTTAA